ATGGCTCGATGCCGAATCCCTTTCCCTGTATCTGAGATTTGCCATTAATTTATGCAATCTATTTGGGCTGCCTTCCAGAAAAAGATGCAGAAAAGGGCACAGTTGCAATTGATTCAATCACTAATTGAAGTTGAGAAAGAAATTGGAAAAGTTCTGGACGTACTAGGATTTTTGTCCTCTAAATCCTATGTCGAGGTGAACATTTTTTTAGAATGCACTTGCTTGTCTGCTAAGTATAACCTATTGATAGCTATTCATTTGGAAAGCTGAAGTGACAATAAATGTTATTTGTTCATCAGATTCAATCACGAATTGACGTTGAGAAAGATATTGGAAAAGTTCTCGATTTAGTTGGATCATTGCCCTCTAACTCCTATGCTGAGGTGAAGCATTTTATTCAAATGCACTTGCTTGTCTGCTATGTATAATCTATAGATAGCTATTCATTTCGAATCCCGGCGTAAAAATAATTGTTATTTGTTCACCAGGTTCTGAAGGAGTTGAAAGACATGGCATTGAAGAGAGCAGGTTTAGCAGAGGATGAAGTACTAAGTCTGATAGAAGAAAGAACTCAAGCAAGGAATAATAAGGATTTTCCTAAGAGTGATAAGATTAGGACTGATTTAACAGCTAAAGGCATAGCACTTATGGATGTGGGCACTGAAACAATTTGGAGACCATGTATCCCAAGTGAACCACTTGTAGCAGAAGTTGTACAGAAGGTACCTATAGTTGAAGAAAAACAGTCAACACCTCCAGTGAATCAAAAAGTGGAGGGAGAAGGGAATGGGCCAAATACTGCATCATCATGAAGGTGGATCAATGTCCCTCCATGTAGCTACAATTGATACACAACTGTTAGTGATTTATGAATACTGTGACATTAGAAGGCTTCATTTGTATAACATTTCACATTTTCTCTCTTTTGCACCCTTTGATTATATGAACAGATACAGATATGGTTTTTTTAAGAGTCGAGTTATTTAAACATCAAGTTCTGAATAACACATTTAATAGCGTGTACATTTATTTCTATCTCTAATGTACTGTTGTGATTTGGTATTATCAGCTGTGAGTGAAAAGATCAACAAGTTCTAGGACATATTCCATTAACAGAGAGTTTCCTCATCTCACTTTATGCACCGAATCTCTTATATAGATTATGATGATAATTTAATAGCGTATAGATTATGTTATTTATCGTGTATATCATGTCGTATCCGAATCTTTTAATTTTTGGCTTTAAGCCATGTTTGTCCCATAAGTCATTATCCATAATTCATATATAAAACAATAGTTATTTATACCTTGCATCTTCGTTGCCATTTCCTAACCCCCAATCTTAAAATAGTAATATTGGGTTTCGAAGGTAGGTGTATATAAATTGTAAAGCAGATAAAACCAACCAAAACAAATAAAATTTAGAGTTTTCTGTTTGAGAATAAAATCCTTTTGGGTGGTGAAGGAGTAAAAGTTATAACTATTACAGATGCACGCTAGAAAACATGGCAATCTAACTTTATTTAAAGTACAAGGCAAGGTGGGAACAAGAATTGATTTTTTCGGTGTTTATTTAAAGTACAAGACAAGGTGTGATGCGTCCCTTAAAAAGAAACAGACTTTACTTTTCTATCCAACTCATGTTGTAAACTACAACAACTTGAAAATTCTATAATGTCATGTGGTTTAACATAGGAAAGCCAATCAAAGCTCAATGTTTGTGGCAGAGGAAATGGAAGAAAAGGAAAGTAATCATTAATCATACGTAGTCTTAGATAGCTTCCAACTTCAACAAAAATCCATGGTCCCAACATGGTTGAGAGGGCTACATATAATTGGCTTGTTAAACATGTGAAAGCTTAATCATGCCTCTAATTGGATTATGGTGATTAAAAAGCGAAAGGATGGTTCAACTTGCTTTGTGGTGGATCAACTGCAAGTTTTGTTAACCCATTACGAAATTGAGATCTTCTATCCCATTATCTTATGTCTAACCCATTATTACTAATATGATTTTGATAAATATGTATCAAATGAATATTAAATTAATTTTTTAAGTTAACAGAATTATATACGGTAATATTTCATTGATTAGGAATAGAGGGATAAAATTGTTTTGGCATTAGCATAGTAGGCAATCAATCATTATTGTTGCAAGTGGGAGCGTCAAAGCTTCATATTGAAAAATCAATGGGGAGAGATATTCAATGAGATGTATCATTTTTTCGTGTTCTTCAACTTATCTACTTATATGCTCATCAACTCATTCACTTTCGCACAATGTGAGACATCTTCATTCACATTTAGAATATCCAACAATTACATTAAAAAAAACTAAACAGACTGCATCAAAATTCTTCAATCCTCCTTTTAGCCAGGGATACCTTCTTCACCACCCTATCCCATCAATATCTTGAATGACTGATAGACAAAAGTGAGTGAAACGAATGCTACCCCTAATAATATGAAAAATGTGGACACCATCAACATTAACTGATCTTACAACCGAAAGATAGGGCAAAATATAGCCACAAGTGAAAAGGCACACATAGATGAAAATCATAGAGAATCTCTGAATTGCTTTTGAAATATCTGAAATGCCAGCAATGATTACAAATAGGAGCAACATTTCATGAATTCTCACCGCAACAACACCAATGACAAACATACTATAGTATGCAACAACCATCAATAATGTTGTTGTCACCTCAGGTCTTGTTACTTTAACTCGACACATTTTTGTACGTCTAGCAACAATGCATGATAGGAAAAGTAAGACACTCAATGAAGAAAACACAAACGGAAAAGAATAAACATTTCGTCCAGAAAAAATAAGAAAAATGTCAAGAAAATATACACCAAAAAAAGAAAGAAAACAAACACAATGAAGCTATGGTTCCTTATTCGCCATTGTTGACTAATCTGCTATCTCATCAAATTATTGACTAATCTACCCAGTAAGCTCCCTTAATTATCAAGAGTACAACTGTTTAACAACTATTACTATTTTCTTCAAAAGATTCTGCTTTTATGTGTATTTATCCTCAATCCTAAGGCTGATATTAGTAAATCCGTTTTACAAAAATACACTCAGAATTAATAGTGATTGCTGAATTATAGTCATTAGTCATTACAATGTGATTCTGACACTAATGTACTTTTGCGACCCTTATTTAATCGTAGTGGCATGGAATGAGTATCCTTGTATTCACAACTCACTATTTTTAATACATCTTTTCCTGATAACAAAAACTGGACCCAACCTTTAATTATGTGTCCTCCCATACTTAATACATAGATCTGACATAAATTCGTGTCTGAATCCTAACATATATATAAAAAATCATATTTATATGTATTCAATCAAATTCCAATAAGTAATATTAGTTTATATTTTTATAACTTTTCTTTTTAATACAGTGTCACTTTTTATTTGGATAATAACAGTGAAACACGTGATTTCTGTCAAAAAAAAATTACGAACATATAACAAGTAAATAAGTCATTATCATGCGAATACAAATTTTGTATACTATTAAAAACATAAAACTTTGTACTATAACAATTTTCACCTCAACTAAATATGCTACTTTCAAAGACTCCTGTGACTTTGTCATGTGAATACAAATTTTGTACTATTAACTACATAAAATTCCGGCAGAAAATCTGAAGCAAACACCATAATATGTTCACATTGATTGTACTTTCTGCATGTGTATTGTGTCCTACATGTCTAAACATTGTTGGTTTTGATATAGTGAGCCGTGTCTTCCCCGTTGAGAGCATCTTTTTTTACAAAGTTATATTAGATAAATAATTGTTGGTTTCAACGTTTGATTCGCTATCAAACTTCAACATGTGTACATGAAACATTAATTGAGTCAAAATATCACTCATAAAAAATATCACTCTCTTACCATGAAATTTTCGTGCAACAATGGGATAAGTTTCTATGCCACGCTATGCATTTCCCATTGGAAATGCTAAAAAAAGTAAAAGCATCTTTGCAATATATATGTATATGGTGAAGAGAATAAAATATTTTCTCATACCAGAAGATAACTTAAATCCTTCAGCTAGTAAAAGAATGACATGTGTATTGTTTTGTTTAGTTTTAGAAATATTTTTATAGAAAATAATTAAATGGTATTCATGTCACAATTTTAATGGTCGAAGGAGATAACTTATCTCCTTATACCATAAAATACATTATTCTTTACGGTGAAATGAACTACACGTTAGTTTATGAAATAAAAGTACGCATCTACTGAAAACTATATAACAACGATGGTAATGTAAAATTTTTGGAAGATGGTAAGGAAATGTATAGACAAATTATTACTTATGGTCAATAAGCAATTTTTTGCAATGTGTAATAAGCGAAACCATAATTTCCTCAATAAAATGTAAAGATGTGAAACTTAACCAATAACATAAAACTAACATTTTTATATTACATCTTAAAATTTGATTAGGGTGGGACAAAGAGACATCTGATATGTGATCTATGTCCTAATCACGGTGCAGCAGGGGAAAGGCTAAGGTGCAAGTCCAAGCCTAATGCATCATTGAAATTGGACCCACCAGCAACTTTTGAGAACCTACTCAAAGATGACCCTTCATTTCTACCACGGTGGGCCCGGGCTTGTACCTGAACCTGCACCTGCGACCCCATCGTTGACAATACGGATGACGAATCACCTACAGCGCCACCATAGGGGAAAAACCCTACACCCGCAGATTTTACACTATTACAACAACCACTACAATTACTGTTACTATTATTAATATTATTACTACTGCTACTCATGGTTTTGCTGTGCGCCGACGGAAAGACACAACCGTGTGGTACTGACACGTGCAAGGGAGGAGGAGTGGCACGTGGCGGCGTGTAAACCCAAGAGTGCGTGCCTGCCGGGATCATTACGGATCCCAGCGGCGGAGAGAGGAGGTGTGGCGGAGGGGTGAAGGCGGAGATGATGGGGTTCCGGATGAAGGCGTTTCTGGAAGCTTGTAACTGGGCACGCTTGAGTTGTTGACGCTCTTTCTTGTGAGCGTTTTGGTGACCACCAAGTGCTTGTGAATTTGAGAACTCTCTGCAACAGTACTGACACTCATATTTCCGTTCACCGGAGGAGGAGGAAGGAGAAGAGGTTGAGGTTGAAGTTGAAGTGGTGTTCGGAGTTGTTGAATCTTCATGGAGCACCTCGTCTTCGAGGCTTTCTTCTTGTACGTTGAATCCGAAGAGCTTGAGGCGCGTTGGGGAAGTGGGGAATGTGGTTTTAGTATGGTATGTGTTCTCCATTTAATGAACAAACAATGGTTGTGATTTGTGAAACTCTCAGACTATAAGTGTTTTATACTAATAAGGGGGTGTGTGGGTTTTGCATGTGTTGGGGTCTATTTATGCAAATTATAATTGAGTGGGTTTTTACAAGAGAATTACTACTCACTCTATTATTCTATAAAAATGAGTAACAGTGGGGGGGAGAGAAAGAGAGAGAGTATTTGAGGACATCCTAATGACAAGAAAGTGATTTGTGAAACTCGTAAGGAGATCGTCTATCCTAGGATTGTGTCCCATTGCCTGTCCCAGCCAATAACAAGTCGTCATCTTAATTAAATTTACATATTAATTTAAATTTTATTTAAAGAAAATTAATGGTGGTAATACTTTTCACCTTCCTCTGCACATATGCCGACTTGTTATTGGCTGGGACAAGCAATGGGACACAATCCAGTCCCGGGACAGAGGATCTCCGTTATGTGAAACTCTGTCCCCAAAGTTTTTTTTTATCTCTCTTGTCATTGTCCAATAGAGTTGCACCATATAATATAATATATTATATTTTGATTTTATAACTTTTTTTCTAATTAAAATGATAGATTCTGATTGGCTTAGGACACCATTAGGGACACTAATGAGGACAACAGATCTGCATCCATACTGGAGAGTCCAGTACAGCCAGATATTGTGACACGTGTTACTTACAAAAGATTAACAGTGCATATTTTCATTCATTTTTAATGTTTAGAATTTTATGGACCTCATGATCCAGTACTGGAGTCCAGTACATGAGAGGATCCAAACCCGAAGAAAGTGTGTGAAAATATGGGAACTCGACCTTAAGAACAAAGATCACACGTCCTAATACTTGTCTCGGACCAATCGCAATGCTAATTTTTGTTACTTTTTATTTTTATATTTTATTCATATAACGACATTGCGATTTGTCCGAGACAGAAATTAGAACAAAGAATGAAACAAGTGAGTTTTATCCTTGCGTTACAAGACTCATAAAGGACTGAAAGGGGTCTAGAGGGTTGTTGAACATTGTCTCTTCACAATTTTGAGGGTTATGCATAAAGTGTATACCAATAATTGAAACTCCTCTCTTGAGAATGAAATTGTAATTTTTGTTCTTACATCTTAATAATATATATGAGTATTACATCATGTAGTTTTTCTCTATTACTTTTTATTTACTCTCCTCTACACAAGAGGATCCTCACTGACAGCCTATATATATCTCTTGATTGGGTGAATTATATGTATCAGCATTCATTATTAATTTCATTGTCACCCTAATCCATAAAAAACAAATTTTTTGAATGTCCAATTTACAAGTAGAGAGAAAGGTCATTGGAATCTCTATCCGAACAGGTTTTAGAAAATTTAAAGTACACACTCCTCATCAATTTTAAATTACACTTCATTCACCCTAAATATTGGTGAGATTAAGAATAAGATGTACTTTTATATTGTGAAATTATATATTTAATTTAATATATTAAGAAGTAGTAGTAGATTTCATTTTCTAATACACACTCATATCTTTTTAATGCCACATGTAGTTGTTATAAGTTACATTATGAATACAAATATGTAAAAAATAAAAATATACATGCACATACGTTTGATGTTGAATTGAGTTTTCTGATAAATAATGTCCAATAATTTTTCGTTAGGTTGGAAAACTGCGTGATGTTTATATAGCAATCGCTTTCAGTCTTTTCATGCATTTGAGCTTGCCGTAAGATGGCCAATCATAAGCTTGGCAGATTACTTTATCGGCTGCGACCTACCTGCTACCGCTGGTTAGTTCGTTTTAATGCGAACTGTAATATTAATCATTTGATATAATTTAGTTAATCTATGCCGTTGGATATGTTACTAGGAACTTGATGAGTTAAGAAGTCGGGTTTGGCCTTGGGTACATCAGCATGATTAGAAGTCGAGTTGGGCCTAGGATGCTTTAGAAGAGAAGTCGGTATGGACATTGGAGGCTTAAATACAAAAGTTGGGTTTAGCCTTGCTAAATTATGAAGAGAAGTCGGTATGGGCCTTGACAGTTTCTTCACAGAAGTCGGTATGGACCTTGGCAGTTTCTTCACAGAAGTCAGTTTGGGCCTTGGTTACATCTTCCCAATTAATAGAAGTCGGTGTCTAAAAAATAACAAAAAGTTTGAAAACACCACATGCAAAACCGACTTTATAGGGAAGCTAATAATTGTAACATATAATTACTTTGTTGCAATGAGAAGTCGGTGTCTCCCAAACAAACATCCAAGTAGAAGCTACCCCATGTCTAACCGACTTCTAAAAATGTTATCACATTTTTTCATCCAACTGTTACAAAACAGTTCGCATCGAAGCGAACTTTCTTATAGTTCGTATATTAGTCTGAGCCAACTTTATCAACTAATAAACATTTTCTGAAGCAATATTTAACTCAACTCAAACCTCATCTCATTCCATAACATGTTCCTTATTTATACCTTTTTTTGTATTTAAAAACAGTATTATGATAGTTACACACATTAAATGTAAACGTAAACAAAATAGTATTTATAAAGATTGTGCATTCTTCATTCTTTGAACATAATGATTTAACATCCCTAACTCTGAACTAATTTTGGATTTAATTAAGTAGAACATGCACAATTCCTAATAAATTAATAATATTTTAAGAACCGTAATAAAATTACATTTTTTATTCAAGTAGTATAAAACTATACTGAATCTTAAATATTATATTAGGTCAAATATTCGATTTCTAGAATCGACATCGATTAGAATGAATAACCACATACCCTTAAAGAAATTAATTCTATCATTCTATATACAATAAAAAAACTCACTGAACCAAGTGAAGTTCATGTCCCAGTCCCCCACCCTGGCAACTGCTGATTCCAACTACTTTTGCAGCTGACACATTAGATGAAAAATAAAAATATACTTTTATAAAATATAAATAAATATAAAAACAATACTTCCATTAACAAATAAATATAAAAAAACTTATATACACGTAGAAAAAGTTTTATATGACTTTTTTATAAAAAATAATAATAAAAATATATAGTAATTACCCTCCTTAATTCCTCATCCATCATCTCTATTTCATAGGACGACAGCATCCAAGATCTGAACTCAAAGCTACAAATACATATGACGACATTCAGATTTAACACCGTCCCACTAGTCACAGCTGCATGGCCCACACGTCAACATCATATTCACTCTCATATCTCATCTTAGATACGCCATGTTTCACGTTATTATATACTCAGATAAAAATGATTTCATGTCCAAAAAATTCATGTCTCAATATCCCAAATCAATCATATCTTACTAAGTATTAAAAACATACTATTTTCAGTTTTTATAAAATAAATTCTTAACTAGTTAACGTTTTTTTATTAGATTAGTGCATAATAGGATACCAAATCTTGGGACAGATGATCTTCATTCATATTTGTATTTCTCAGCTCACTTAAATTATGACACTATAAATTTGTTGAAAATAATATGAAATATCATATTATATTTGTCTAACTTGTGGACTGCAAACTATACAATTAAAAAATAATAATGAAAAGTTACATAAAAATATATTAATTCAAACAATTTAATATTATATATTATTTAAGACTAATGAGAAATTAAAACATAATACTTAATTAAAGTCACAATGATTGCGAGCTAACATGCCAGAATGGCTTGGGAATTTCGTAAATAAAGTCTTTATTCTTCGTGAGGCATGAGAAATTCTTAGGTGAACATGGAAACAAATTAGACACCATAAGCCATTATAGCCTTCAGAGTTGGCTTGTCTGGAAGGGAATTTTAATGTCAGGTTAACTTAGGATCCCCACCATTTTATTGACTTACGTGTTGTTTATGATGTTTGCGTGATTGACGTTGAAATCTATATGTTTTTATTAATTGGTTTTCTACCTTTGACAGAGATCTTTGAGAATCTTACTAACTACGAGAGAGTGAGGGTTAGAGCATTTTAGAGGCTTTGAAATCTCCAACTTAAAAAGCATAATAATCAATCATAGTCATAATTGCTTGTACAAGTATTTATCAAACAAATATGAAAGGGAAAAAGTAAAGCCTTCTTTAATTCTAAAGTCTTCCTCATAACTCCTAATATGACCCACTTTGTCCCCTTTTGTGTTATAATATTCAAACTACCCCTCCTAATAAGTTAAAATTCCCATCTACTCACTTATGTAGCATTTTATTTGATATTATAAGTAATTTATGTTGTTACTTACTATTTAGTATTGTTATTTTATCATTCGTATTTTTTTTGCTTATATAATAATTTAGTTAGAGTGACTCATATTGAGTTATGTCAATCCTTCCATTCAAAACTTCCTTCACTCATCAATGGAGTGAGTTTTTTTTCTTCTAAAGAAATTAAAGATTAGGTAGTTTGAAAATGGTTAGACATGTATCCAAGGTTTTTTTCCCCATGGTGTAGGGTGATAACTGATAACACACGTGACTGTACACATATCTGATTTGTTCCACAATGTTTTAAGAAACTTAGGTAGGTCTCAACCACATTGGGCACACATGCAATGCTTATTATCTCCACATGAACATTTATAACTATAGCTTAATTTTTTAGCCAAACAAAAATTAAGTCAAATATTGGTCCTTTTAATTTATTTTATTTTATTTGATGTAACTTGTAAGGGTTTCCACCATCAATTTGTGATAAACAACTTATGGAGGGCATTAGACATGCTTTCTTTTGGTTGTTGTAATTGAAGTGATGCCGCTGATTATCATTTAAGATCACCCGAATCGTGATTATGGCCCACCAATTTTGCTTAGAATAAGTAAAAACCAATGAATGATAATTCACAATATTTAATGAGAAATTATTAAGAGACAATATCCTATCACATTAGAACCCCAATTAACTTTCTAATCATCCTTGTTTCTTTTCGCAACCATTACTTTCTAAGCCTCCAAAAAGGATAGAAAGATAACCCCAATGTGACTTAGTTCTCAAGTTGGAAATCCTTTCTATTCATATTAATTCCATGGGTATGACTCAATTAGCCCTACATGTACTCCAAGTGGCATTGCCTACTATGTTTAAAATTAATTCCTAATGCAATGGTATGTGCTACTCGAAACCACATTTTTGTCCCATAATTATAATTGGTTAGAAAAATATATATTTAAATTAAAAATATAACTATTAATTATTTTTTAATCAATCATAATTCGTAACACATATTATGAGATAGGAGATATACATCATTTTCTTCATTCACCAGTTATCTCTTATTCCAATTTTTTGTTGCTTGACGAGTTTCTATTTAATTAAGATTCAGCTTCTATGTTTAGAAATAGTTTTTTGTTAACAATTCTCATTCTTAAACGTAGATTCCCATTTTGTACATTAGCAAGAGGATCCTTGTGATAACATTCATTTTTCTGGAAGTTCTGTCTTTTTAGTAAAGACAAATTTTGATTTAGATTCCTATGATTAAAATAGAAGACTTGATCAATGAAGTTAGTAAATTAATAATAACTTAGCCAAACTTAAAACCATTTTCACTTATATATACAAAATCTTGTTATAGACGATCTAACTTTATAAACCTATTATTGTCCTAACAAAAATAAA